GCGCACGCGGGCAGCGGACAGCCCAGACGCGCCGCGGCTGTCCCGCTGCCGGCGTCCTCAGAGGCTTTGCTTCCCGTCTCCCTGGTCTGCTGGTCTCCAGCAGACCAGGGAGACGGGCAGCAAACCCCGTTCGTAACTGCGGATCCAACATAAGTCGGATCCGCGTAACTCGGGGACTGCCTGTATTCTTATCCAGTCCTGATTTTTAGTGTCTAGCAAAGTTATGCAACAAATGCTTCAAAAACTACATAGGTGAATCCAAGGCTTTGCTTCCCGTCTCCCTGGTCTGCTGGTCTCCAGCAGACCAGGGAGACGGGCAGCAAACCCCGTTCGTAACTGCGGATCCAACATAAGTCGGATCCGCGTAACTCGGGGACTGCCTGTATTCTTATCCAGTCCTGATTTTTAGTGTCTAGCAAAGTTATGCAACAAATGCTTCAAAAACTACATAGGTGAATCCAGACAATCACTACATTCTTGAATGAACTCCCACCGGGAAATAAGATAACATTTCCACATCACTTGTGGATGAATAATTTTCATGAAGCATTCACTCTACATCTGACTTATCAATTTTCAGTCTCAAAAGAAAACCTGCAGAAGACTTCAAAGATGAACCTGGGTGCTTAAATTTATTACTGTGCCAATTAAGGATATTAAGTATCATTTAATTCACTAATTGAATAGTCAATGCATTTTTGCATTGACTAGTTGATAAGGCAGCGCTGCCCCTTTGAAATGCGCGGCATTTCAAAGGGACAACGCTGCACAGCTGACTCGGGCTTCACTCAGTGGTGACACACTGAAACATGTGGCAGCATTTCCAAGGGGCAGAGCTGCACAGAGCCTGGGATCAACTGTGCGGTGCTGCCACTTTGAAGTAGCCCCTTCTACGCCCTCTCTTGCTGCCTCTGATCGAGGCAGCAGGATGGGGAGGGGGATAGAGGGAGTTACTAGTCAACTATCCTGTCGACTATCCAATAAGCATTTGCTTATCAGATAGTCGACTAGTCTTTAATATCCCTAGTGCCAATACTAAAATTCATGGACTCAATGAACCCACTGGATTTATGGCTTATTACAACAATCTATAACCCACTAACGATGCTCCCCAGGTGCCTTTCCCCATCCCTTTTTTCCCCCTAGAACTGAAGGGTATTAATGGGCACTCTACAACAAATAGTCCCTTGAAATACATGTTGATTACTTATGCTAAACAACCCAGTCTATCTTGTATTTAGCGGTGACATTCTGAGTTCATTTCCCAAATCTGAAGAGTTCTGTATAAAAAGCGTATCTCTCTCACCAACAGAAGTTGGCTAATGAAAGATATTACCTCATTCATCTTATTTAATTCTGAAAATGATACTTTACCTGTTGTGACAGCTGATTGCAAGCCAACTGGTAAAGATTGACCAATTTTCCAGACAGTGACTTTGCTGATTTGAAACCTTCTGAAAATAACATTACTTCAGCAATGAGTTGATAATCTGGTACCATCATTGAGACAGGTCGAAATAGTGATTTTAAATTGTCTGGGAGTTCTACACGGCCTTTGTACCTGGTGAAGAAGAAGAAAATAACTCAAGCCTTCAAAAGTTACATTTGTATTAATTATTTTGGCATTAGAAGAGCAAGAAACTAAAAAATCATTTCGGAAACACAAAAGTTTACAGTATAGGCACTTACTCAAATATTGTAATTAAATAAAATATTTTGGCATTATCTTAATGAAATTATACTGTGAAGTTTTGTTGCTTACATCACCACATTTTAAGTAATCTACAGAAGATAATTTATTTTGGGATTGCCAGAGGTATTATAATTTCCCTCGAGTTAAGATGTTTTGGATAAATACAACACATACATGCATAATCATTTGTTTTGGTATGAAAACAGGCAGAAGATAATTAATTATCTGTAGATATGCTTCCTATTCTTTTAGGAGAGGAGTGTAGATTTATAAAGATTCGGACATCAGGATTTGAGACAAAATTCTTATTACTGCATATAGGATCTATATTCATAAATCTTATATCCACACACATCCCTAAACTTATTTTATGGATCAGCGAATCATCGCGCATGAATATATGGTAAACTTCAACATTTTCTCTTTTATTATGCCTATGAATTAACAATAAAAACCAAGGGCTGCATCTAGACTGGCATGATTTTGCGGAAATACTTTTAAGGGAAAAACTTTTCCGTTAAAAGTATTTCCGCAAAAGAGCGTCTAGATTGGCACGGATGCTTTTGTGCAAAAAGTGCTTTTGCACAAAAGCATCCGTGCACAGTATAGACACGCTTTTGCGCAAGAAAGCTCCGATGGTCATTTTAGCCATCAGGTTTTCTTGCGCGAAAAATTAAGGTGCCTATCTACACTGGCCCTCTTGCGCAAGTATTCTTGCGCAAGAGGGCTTAGCCCTGAGTGGAAGCATCAAAGTATTTGCGCAAGAAGCACTGAATTCTTACATTAGAACGTCAGTGCTCTTGCGCAAATTCAAGCAGCCAGTGTAGACAGCTGGCAAATTTTTGGGCAAAAGCAATTGCTTTTGCGCAAAATCTTGCCAGTCTAGACTCACCCATGGAGTGTTGTTGTAAAGAGAAATAGCACTGGCAACAGAACACAGGTCCAATTAAACCTATATAACACAAAACATACTCTAACTCTGGATCAATTTTCAGTGACAATTAATAATTCAAAAAATGAAAATAAAAATACTTTTGTATAGGAATTAGAGAGAAGTACATTTCTCTCATTACCAGTCTTTTTCAGTCCGTTCACCCAAGTTTTAAAGGTGCAGACATAAGTCTACTTCTCTCTTTATCTAAGGAGCACACCATTTACCATCAGTAAGACTAAGCTATAGTCATGAGTATTTTTAGTTAAAATCATGGACAGGTCACAGGCAATAAACAAAAATACACAACACCATGACCTGTCCATGACTTGCACTATATACCCATGACTAAACCTTGAGTGTTCTGGATGAGGGGGCTCTAAGGGTACTACTGTTGGTACTGGGGTGGCTTCAAGGAGCTCACTGATGCTGAGGGAGGGGAGAGCTCTATGTCTCTTGCTGGTAATGGGGGCACCAGGGCCTTCACTGGTTCTGTGAGGCTTTGGAGCATCTACTGATGTTCAGCGGTACTCCAAGAGAGGGTATGTCTACACTACAGCGCTAATTCGAACTAACTTAGTTCGAATTAGTTAATTCGAACTAAGCTAATTCGAACTAACGCATCCAGACTAAAAAACTAGTTTGAATTAGCGTTTTGCTAATTCGAACTAGCATGTCCACATTGAGTGGACCCTGAACAGAGGTTAAGGATGGCCGGAAGCAGTGCCGGCAGGGCATCAGATTAGGACTTAGAGCATGGAGCTGCTGTCTCAGGCTAGCCGAGGGCTGTGCTTAAAGGGACCCGACCCCCACCCCGGACAGACAGTTTCAGGGATGCACTGCTTGCAAAGCAGTCCTGGCTTGGAGTGCCCTGAGTGCCCACACGCGGAACATCACAGCACTCGGCCATCACCTCGGCTGCACTTGCCAAAGGCTGCCATCCGGGGGGAGGGGGCATTCGGGGGGCAGCAGGAGAACTTCCTCCCTGAGAAGCCCGCAGAGCCAGCCCAGTCCTCCGACAGACAGTTTCAGGGATGCACTGCTTGCAAAGCAGTCCTGGCTTGGAGTGCCCTGAGTGCCCACACGCGGAACATCACAGCACTCGGCCATCACCTCGGCTGCACTTGCCAAAGGCTGCCATCCGGGGGGAGGGGGCATTCGGGGGGCAGCAGGAGAACTTCCTCCCTGAGAAGCCCGCAGAGCCAGCCCAGTCCTCCCCCTCGGGGGCGCGTACCCCATTCCTCCCTCACCTCCTTCCACTTACCCCTCCCTAGCCCGCCTTCCTGATGTTCAAAATAAAGAAAACGTGTGTTCAAAAATAGAATCTCTCTTTATTGAACAAAACTGGGGGAGACTGGGAAAAAGAGGTAGGAGAGGGGAAGAGAGAGGCTGGGAGAGGGGAGGGCAACTAAAATGATCAGGGATTTGGAACAGGTCCCATATGAAGAGAGGCTAAAGAGACTGGGACTTTTCAGCTTAGAGAAGAGGAGACGGAGGGGGGATATGATAGAGGT